TGGTTGACAGGACTGTTAGTCTACCTTAGGTGAGGTATCCATACAAGTGGTACTACTCACAAAGCGACAGGTCCAATCTTTGGCCCACGGTCTTCCGTTGGGTTCAACAGGGACAAGCCAGCAGCCAGGAGGAAGATGCACATCAGAGGGAACGTCTGAGGCTGTTAGTTTGCATTCAGCAGATTTGGCTCATGTTAACTCACGATCATGCAGAGAGTCCTTCGGCCCTTGGTGTCAATGAGGAATAGGGTAGGGATCGTCGCAATCACTTGGATGGCGCCGTACCCCAAGGAAGCATACAGGGCCTCTACGGGCGTGTATCCTGCATCGACGAAAATTGTAGAGCTGTAGAAGGAAATGATGTTGATTCCGCACCTAGGTAGTTGGGTCAGCATAACAAATTAAGGATGAAGATGAGGAGGATTCGCACATTTGCTGAGCAAGCATCACAGTGCTAGCACCGTAGTTGGCGCGCCTGATTCTAGGGATGGAAAAACAGTCCCATAGGCGACGGAAGTAACCAGCGCCACGAGCCTCCTTGAGCTCCTCCTCATATATAACCCACGAGTAGTAGAAATCTCTGGCCCCGATAATATTATGGGCTCGAAGTTTGCACATGGAGCGGAAAGCCTCGGCGTGTCGGCCGTGCTTCATGAGCCAACGCGGGGACTCGGGGCAGAAGAATATACCAATAGCCAAGATGAAGGATGGGATGAAGGCCGAGCCCAGCTGGAGTCGCCAGGAGATATCGCCGGTATCCTTGACAATGACATTTGCGCAGAAGCCCAGAAAGATGCCTGCGACGACCCAGAGTTGCCAAAACATGACGAGTGCGCCACGGACTCTGTGGGGAGCCATTTCAGCGGAGTAAATGGGCACAGTGGCGTTCTTTGCGCCGATGCCGATGCCCATCACGAAACGCGCTGCGAAGAGACCTTGCCATGTTTGCGCAAAACCGGAGCCGATCGGTGTAGCAGTAAGGCACAAAGCCGTGATGAAGATCTCGCCGCGTCGGCCAAAGTAGTGGTTGAGAGGATCGACAATGAAGGCGCCACTGCGTGCGGGGAGTTAGCAATTGCGATAGGACCCGGGGAATGATTGTCACCAACATCAGACCAGCCGTGAGAAAGATGATGGAATTGATCAGACCAATGAGCCACTCGTCTCTGGAGGACCCGCTGTTGATGCCAAGTGCCTCGTGGAATGTCAGGTTGGCACCGTTGGAACCAGTCTGATCCCAACCCTGCGTCGCGGCTCCGATGGCACAGAGGCCAATCGAATACCACAGCATCTTTGGGCCGTGCCATTTATGGTCCCGCTCGTATTCGAGCGCCCGACGCTCGTCTTCGGAGAGGTCTGCAACGTCGTTGAAGTTGTTCATGTCGCGCGCGACCATCGCCGCGCGACCGAAGAGGGCGGCATGTTCACCCAGGTTGTGCGTCTCGGCGAACGCCACGGCATCTTCGACCGTTTGCTGTGGGGTTTTGCGCTGGGAGAAGAAGGCGTGTCAATGGTTTTGGGAGCGTTCCTCCTGAGCCTTGGCGCAAACAGGAACTCACCTTCAGCGGGTTCTCGACGATGTTGACGGCGGAGGCCTTTCCGCTACCAAGACCCTCGGCGAGCTCCGTCTGGGGCTTCAAATCGCCGCCTGTATCCTTCTCGAACGCATCGTCCGAGTGAGGGACGTGGTCGATTTCGTTGATTCCCATGGTGAGCTTGGCAGCGTTCAGATTAGCTTGGCGGGATCCAGAAATTGTGGCAGTTCACTGTGAAATGTGCGACTTGCGCCAATTGATCAACGATGAGCCAAGTAACAGTAGTAAAGCCAAGCAACGGGAACGACCATGGCCAAGTCTTATGTATTTCCGGCCAGACAGGCTGTCTCTGCAAGAAGGCGGCTCCATTAATCACACTTCCAAGTTCCAACACCCAAACCCCAGACGCTTCCAACTTCCCCGCTCTCCGCACTGGGGTAAGCATGAGGTGGGGATTCATCCATCAAAGGCACCCAAGCAACAACATCAGGAGATGATCATCCGTATCTACATAGTGTCGTATGTAAGCCCCTCGTCTGACATTTCGGCGTGTCGGGGATATCGGTCCCAGTTGGACTCCGCCTTTTGTCAGTAAACTCGAGCTCTCGAGGCAGTTGGGAGCGCGTTCACGGGAGTTTGCAGGTTTTCATTGGAAGGTTTGAGATGAAAGAGTGGAAACCAGTGAAGCTAGTGTTGCCGATCATGTCTTGGCCTTCCCGCCTGCCTCCTGATTAGATGTACTCCTGGACTTAAACATGCGTCATAGGTTCAATCAACATGGGTTTTCACGCTCTGGGCTGGCAGGCACGCAAGCTGGTTCAACAACTCGTGTCTCCAAGCAACAGTTCACCCCGAATCCAACGTTACTTACTTTGAGTGGGTAATCACCACTCCATTTTACCTACGTGGAGTCCAGAACTTTCCCCGCACGAAAGCCCGGTGTTACCATCGTTCTGAGCTTCGTTTGGGGTCTGAAAAGGACCTAGCGGATTTGAATCATTCAACAAGCCGAGGGCAATGATTCCAGCGCGGTCTAGTGTAGTCCTCATCCCCATCTCAGTCGACAGAAATGCGGAGAGCATCTAGACGCTATTATATTACCCCGAGATTGTCAGTCCATGTTACCCTAAGGACAGAATAAATGGAAGTTAAAAAACCGTCCTAGCCATCATCGCTTGCTCATCCATCTGCCGCTACACATTCACCTTCCTCGTACTCCAGCTGCCGTCATGTCTCTCAGTACACGTGTCTTTGATCTACAGCTCGAGCAACACTGCTCTCGTTTAGTATATACCAGACTGCGACGCGAGGATCCTAGCGGTTTGAAGGCAACGCCGCAAACTAGACGCAACTTAGGTATAATCTTGATATTATAAAGCGGGGTGCTATTGAAATCTTATGTCGAATCTGCTCACTCAGTGTTGGCCCCATGCCCTACTGTTTTGCTGAGCGAAGGCGAGTCTGCCTTTACGCCTGCCAAAGCATGTGGGTACAGTGTCCGATCGGAGACCCCCTGGTCGAAGTCCGTCACCGTTGAAAAGGGTCTGCTATCGCCGGACTTGGCAAGGCTCGCGCACAATAACGACGCCGGATAAAAGGGCGAATCGGAATGCCACACAGCTGTCGGCACTCCTTGGGAAAGACTTCTCAATCCATGGCGAAGTCTACGGCGCGACTCTACATTACCGCTCTCGGTGAATATGAAGCAGGGCTCAAAGATCAGCGCATTGGGAATTATGCTCTCGCTCCCAGAACATCAGTACCTTATCTAAGGTCGAACACGCTAGGCAAAAGCGAAGGAATGATGACTGCAGGATTAGGGTGCTTGGCTTCGCTACTTACTTCTGCTCCACCGGATACCATGACGTCGTTCTTCTCGCACATTTGATTTTTGCAAAAGGACTGGCATGTCTTCAGCATGCTTGTGTATTGAGATGAAGTATTCCCTGCCACAGTATTAAATTTTTCAAAACACATCTTTCACTCGACTCTTGGAGCAGTTTTATTGGTCTCTCGATGGGGCAACAATACTCACACCCCCGGAAAGGCGCAAAGATGCAGGTCATCTGTGCAGGGCTGTCGCGTACTGGAACCAGCTCGATCAGCCGTGCCTTAGAGATGCTACTTGATGGGCCGGTCTTTCACGGCGGAACTCAGTTATGTCTCGGCCCTGAAGCGGAGATTAAATCATGGATGAAGGTGCTTTCAGAGTGGCCACCGACGAATGCGGCCATGGAGCAGGAAATCCTGAACACTATACGCGTTCGCACTGACGGCTATGTTGCTATCACTGACGCGCCTGGTTGCAACCTCGTCCAAGAGCTTGTGACACTATACCCAGACGCCAAAGTCGTCTGCACAGTCCGTGATGATGAGGCCTGGGAGAGGAGCATGGGAGGGTTGAATGACGAAGTGTCACCATCAGCTTTGCACTTCATACTCTTCATGCTTCCCACGATGCGACTCTTCCCAGCCTACGTTCAAATCCTGATCTCGCATTGGGTCAAACTATACGGAGAATCGAATCCACCAACGGTCAAAACATATCACCGCCATATCGCGTACCTGAAGAGTGTTGTTCCGCCGGAGCGGCTGATCTTTTACGACGTACGCGACGGGTGGAAGCCCTTGTGCAAGGCACTAGATCGCCCAGTACCCGAAGATGTACCATTCCCCAATATTAATGATGGCAAGGCTATCCAGACGTTCGCAATGAAGCAGATCAAGCGGGGTCTTGGGACATGGCTTTTGTGTTTAAGTATAATAGGAGTTGGTAGCTTCATGCTGTTCAAGGCTTGGGGCACTCTATTTTGAATTTGTTTATTTGTTGAGCGATATACTGGAAGTAAAGGAGTCTCAGAGTGTGGTTATGTGCTCTTATGGAAGAATTAACAGGAAGACAGAATGATTATATTTTTGCGTCTTAGCCAAATTTGTGAGCAAAAGAGTCACGCAAAGTGTTCTGCTCTCTATATATATGTATGTCTCTGCTACTTCCATGCTCCTAAACGACCCTTCCATTTCCGAAGCTTCTAGCCCTTGAAAGTCTTTCCAAACCTCCCACATGTCGGACGGCTTCAATTGAGTATCCTATCGAGTATGAAGTAGCTTCAGTGTATACGACTGTGAATTTCTTGGACGTCGATCCCATGTTGGTTTATTAACTATGTGTATCGGAGAAAACTGAGCGGTAGTAGTACGGAGTAATGAGGAATAGAACTCCACTAGCTGCTACTACCTGCTACTTCGCCCCTCAATATACAAACACCATTCCGCAGTCAATGGGATACCTCCGTAGTCATGATGATAGGAGATGTTATGCGTAAGCCATCGCTCGATCCATTATAAAGTCATAGTCCTGCGAAACCGACTTCTCATCGTTACACATGTATCCTGCTCTCCAGAGTTTCACTAGGATGCATCACTGCTTGTTCTGCGTACCACTTCCCAACATCTCACTCGACCTTACTCTTCACACGCACCTCTGCAGTACTCTGCGCCAGGTGGCAGAGGGCATCTTGCGCCTGTGGGCACAATTCCGCTCGCCCCATCAGAGACACCCTCTCCGTTGAAATAACACTTACCAAGATCCTTCTCACAGGGGTTCCCAGGTCCGGGACAACAGTAGCCGTAAGCATTGATATCAAAATTATAACAGGCTACAGGCTCGACGCTTGCGAGTTCGGAATTAGTTGTTGGCAAAGCGGGCGCAGCCGTCGTAGTGGAAGGCATGAGTGTTGTAGCAAATAATGTAGGCTCTGGGATGATCACTGCGATGGACGATTCTTTGTATACAGGCCCATTGCCGAACTCAAGACCACTCAGCAAGTCGGTAAGGAGAGTAGAGTTGGCGTCGTGAAGGTCGGATCTGTTGGTGCTTCTTTTCCAAGTATCTCCAAAAGCTAGTTTGTCTATCTGAAAGCCTCAAACATCAGAGCGAGCGTCTCTCTGCTACCTATAGAGCTCCTAACGATAAGCCTTTTAGGATGCAGAGGCATATCGGTAGAGGACCTTTTTTGGTACGATACGCCTAACTCTTCCGCATAGGATGGCACGATTAGCACCATCTCAGCTGACAGCTCAACTATTGTGCCTTTTGAGGTTCAATGAACTGTTATGCGAGCAATCTGGTAAAGATCTTGTCACTATGAGACATACCTCTGTATTGACTGAGCCCGGGAGGCTCAGAGTTCTGTCCGGAAAGGAGGCACGGGTATAATCCAAGGATTCCCAAGCTTCTGCAGTTCAAAGCATTAGATTCAGGTACCCTGGTAGTTACCACGGATAAAGATGTTATGCGAGTGGGGGCTACCATCAACCGGTATGCCCCAGTAACCCTCGTTGGAGAAGCCAACCTGGCCTGAGGCGCCACTTCCGACACTGACTTTCAGTGAATTCGAGACTCATGTTTTAATAGTACTCACATTCAAGGAAAGACGGTTGGAAGAACACTATGCGTATCACTGCAGATAACCATTTGTCCTGAAGGCAATCACTAGCAGCAGGCTACTCTTCAGATAAAATTCCCCTATGCTATATCGAAGGTGAGTACATAAGAGAAGAATTAAAGTACAGTTTGGCACTTGTTACTACCTTGTTACACGTTACGCGTGTCTTGAAGATATACAAATTTACGAGCCAAAGCTACAGCGATTCAACTTTCTCACTGAGTGAGCCAGGGGTTGGGATATCCCGGGTCTGTGATGTTGACCCCAATGATCGGGCTCAGCCAGCTATCATAGTCAGTTGAGCTGTTCATGTTACCTCCCCACTTTAATGCCCGAACCAAGATACGATAATCAGCATTCGGCAATTGGTAAATAGTTCCGTTGGCTAGTTCAACAACTCCCCAAGACCAATCAGTGCTATAAACGCTGTAGCCTCGGAAGTTGGTAGCAACTGTTCCATGAGGCACATCGCCACCCCACAATAAGCCAATGAGGCCATAACTCTTCAACCCTGCCACGTGGTCAAGGGTTTCCAGGTCCAGGGGAGGAGTAGTGACAGTCGTGTTGGTAAATACGGTAGCGTTCGTTTGGGGTCCCGGGAGATAGCCATATGTTGACGGCGTGAAGTTGTAAGTGGGGTTAGACGCGATGTCTGCAGGTACTGCGTCAAAGCGGACATACGCCGATGGTTGGTCAATGAAAATTGTGAGAACTGGGTCGTTGTCGGGAGTCTGTGTTTGGTTCTCGGCAACCTTCTTGGCGGGGAATGTGAAAATCGTCTTGTCGTTATTGCGAATTCCCGCGTCAGAAGAACTGATAAACGGCAGCAGAGGAACGCCAGAAGGGGGCACTGGGGAGACATCAAGATTCTTCAAGTCTCCTGTGTAGATATTGGAGAGTTCGCCGCGTGCATACGGGATTCCAAGATAAGGAATGGAAAAGTTCTCCTCTCCTTCGGTGACTGTGATGAGACCACTGTAAGTCGGCAGGAGGGAAACGTCGACAGTGGGAGGGGTAATTGTAAATTCTACAGTCGCCTTGCCGCCAGCTGGAACCGTAAGGGAGCTCGTTGTGAATGTCACTTCCGAGTAGACAGGATTGAAGTTGAGCGCCCAGTAGAACATGTCGTTGATGTCAAGACTGTTGCCATTTGGTAGTCCGTTGACTTCCGCTGCAGGCTTGTGACCCAGCGTGTAGGTCTTGGGGGAAGATGACAAGTTCTCGATTGTGAAATTCCGATCAAGGGGTCCAGCTGAGTCGCGAAGGTTGAACTCGGTTGCAGAGAAAATGGTTTCCGATGTGACTGCTCTCAGGACGTTGACTAATCCCGAGCCTTGTTGAGCGGTAGTGGTGAGAATGTCGGTCGCGTTGTATTGCTTTAGAGGAGTTGCGGACGATTGCAAACGTCTCGCGATCTCCTTCGGGCTCAAGTTAGGATATTTCTGCTTCACAAGAGCGTAGCAACCCGCAAGGCTTTGAAATGTTAGCTCAAAGCCACCTTCGCTTTGGAAACACGACTTACTGAGGGGTGGCCATCGATGTGCCCGAGATGACCGCATATCCCCACCCGTTAGATGTAACCCACGTGCTAAGAATCGTTCCTCCAGGTGCAGACACCTGAGGCTTGAGCGACATTTCCATCGTTGGCCCAAAGGTTGAGAACCATGAGGTAGTGCCTCCAGTTGGCTGATCAATCTGATGAACGGTTTGGTCTTCGAAAGTCAAAGTGAAGTTCTTGCCCTCTTTAGCAATACCGGCAAGAATTTTGCTTGCCTCAGACTTCTTGACCTTGACTGTATCAATGGCGCCATTCGCACCTGGCTCGTCGATGGACATGTCACTGGTATCAGGAAACCATGCCCAGACATTCGTGAAGCCAGATGAGTTGCTCCGTGCATCCAGGATATCGTAGTAACAGTCGCTTCTCGCGGTGACCAATGCGACCACACTGCCCTTGTCAGGGAAGCTGGCAATCGCGTCATCCCATGCTTGGTCCACGCACTCTCCATTATCGTCGTCCGCAACAAAGACATTGAAGTGTGCTGAAGCGTTGAGGGGAACAACACGACCGTACTCAATGGTGGAACCATCCGAGCCAGCAGCGTTGTAAACCGTAGCAAAGTGGAAGTCGCTTACGGAGCCGACTGAGATTGCACTGGGGTCTTGTGCTGGTGCCGAGGAAACGTAGAGGCCAGTGTCGCCCTCGTTGCCGGCCGCAATGACGATTCCGATGCCCTGGGACTGGATCTTGGACAGAATCGGAATGTACGGTGAGCCACCCTCCCAAATAGCTGTCTCACCAATCGACATGCTGATGAGGTCAACCCCGTCGCTAGCAGCTCTCTCAAAGCCTTGCATGATGATATCATCAGTGACACCTCCACTGCAGCCGAGAACGCGGTAGGCATAAAGAGATGCGTCAGGTGCAACACCAGAGATGCCAAATCCAACGCCCTGAGGGTCCTTGGCAGCGAGGATTCCTGTAATGACGAGTTAACACAAGCTAGAGCGAGGTTTTGGCTTCTCCTCAATATGACATACCAGCAACATGGGTACCGTGACCGCCCTCCAAGCAGGTAGTCAATGGGTCATCGTCCGGGACTGGATCATTCCAGCCAACAAAGTCATCACCCACAAAATCATAGCCTCCCGCTACCTTGAAGCCTTCGCCGTAGCCAGCGCCCAGGGCTGGGTGACGCCAATCAACACCAGTATCGAGGAAACCAATCTTGATGCCTTTTCCAGTCAGACCTTGGGCATGGACTTTGTCAGCGCCGGTCATCTTGAGACTGGAAAGGACGTCACTGGTGCCATTGATGGTGACAACCTGTGCAGCGGCTCTGAGCTGGACGGACTGCACTCCGATGGGAACAGAGGGGTTGACAGTCTTTGATCCCCGGCTAGAACCAACCGGTACGGGGCGGTCGTAATATTTGTTGGGCCAGACCTTCTTGACCTGGGGTAGAGCAAGCAAAGTGTCGACGTCGGTATCGTCCTTTGCATTGATTGACAAGCCATAGAAGTAGTCCGGATTTTTGAATTCGTGACGAACAGAGTAATCCAGGACGTCTTCGGCTCGGCGATGGAAAGCAGAGTGCGCATCTTCGCCGACCTCGCGGCCATTGATTGACGCATTCGGCTCAAGTTCGATGATGAAACCAGCGTTGACTGGTGGCTTTGCCTTGATAGCGGCTCCGGGGTGAAACGCCGCCAGACCAGGCGTGATCAGAGCCGTGGCAGCCACAAGAGTAAAAGAAAGGGCCTTCATGACGAAGCGTTGAAATGAGTGTAAATGAAAGGAGTGTAATGGACGCCGCGATGGCTATAATCTGCAAGGGATTTCAGTCTGAAGAGTGCATCACGACACATTTTAAGTAAGTCAACATACCCACTTCCTGGCACCCCCCTGTTTCTGGCACCCACAAAAACGCGAAAATCCACCACAACCCAATGCCCACCCCCAACCTCCTTTTATCACAACATTTTCAATTCGCGTCCAAATGGGCTCATCTTTTGCACATGTCTTCTTCTATATATAATGCCTCAATATACCGAAGATCAGCTTCGTCAGGCTCTCGAGGA